GTCACACATGCAAATGATTTCCAATTTTGTTGTACAACAAATCTCTTTCTACACATAGTTAATTTTTTTCTTTTTAGATTGGGGATTTTTAAACTTCAGCACACATTAGAATCATTTGGAGGGCTTGTTAAAACACAGATGGCTGGGCCCCATCTCCAGAGTTTCTGATTCAGTAGGTCTGGGGTAAAGCCTAAGAATTTGCAAGGCTAACAAGTTCTCAGATGATGGTGATGTTGCTTATCCCGGGACCACAATTAAAAACCAATGTTAGATTATTTACATAGAATATAGTCATCAAATTGGTGTTGATAAATCAAATAGTATAGTTATTTTGATGGCACATAATACGTATTTCTGAAGTCCTTTCCTAAAAGCTTATATGGATTCATATTGACAACTGATTTCTTGGTGGCACAGTGGTTAAGAGCTTGTCTGCTAACCAAAACATTGGCAGTTTGAATCCACCAGCTGCTCCTTGGAAACCCTATGGGGACAGTTCTACTCTGTCCTATAGGGTCACTACGAGTAGGAATCGACTTGACGCAACAGGTTTGGTTTTTAGGTTTATAGCACCAGTAGATACCAACTAATCAAATGAACAAAGGAACATGAGAAAAATTGACTTCTCCCAAAATCAAGACATTAGGCCTGAGACCCTCTATTTACACTTTAAAGATTCATATAGTGGCTGAATGGTAATATCCAAATCTCTGTTACTACAGAAATTGACAAGGAGGTTTTGTCATTGCCGTTCAAATTCAAAAGTCATTGAAAAATAGCTAAAATATTTATACCCTGGAGGAGGGTACATTTGTATGTACACAACACAAACACAAAGCTGCATTTAGCTTGCTTGTCCATGATAATCATAAAACCAGTGCTGTTCATCGGAAGGTATAAAGCGAAAATATGGCTTTTAGAAAGTATTTTTTACAGGTTAGAAACAATGGCGCCTTGGTGGCACAGTGGTTAAGAGCTCGGCTGCTAACCAAAATGTTGGCATTTCAAATTCACTAGCTGTTCCTCAGAAAACCTATGGGGCAGTTCTACTCTGTCCTACAGGGTTGCTATGAGTCAGAATCGACTCGATGGCAATGGGCTTGGTTTTTGGTTCAGAAACAAGAAAATTCCCACTTTAGCCAGAGATTATCATATGTTTGCCTAAAAACCACAGTCATAAACCTCAGAGGTTTTCCCTGATATTAAATGATTCTCTGTATTCGGGTAGAGATTAATCCATCACCTGTACATGGAGATATCTACATACATACAAACATGTCTACATAAGTGGATAGATACATCTGCATACATACAAATTTGATAGTCATGGATGGGAAGTATATATTAATACACTCGTTTATAGAAATCCACAGAAGTGGCATGCTTAGCAAAGCTATTCTCAATAGAAAATGTCTTCCTGGCTCTTTCTCTGAAATCTGCATACATTCTTACATTTTTCATTCTTATTTGTCCTTATTGCATCTGTGTGACTATATAAAGAGAAAATTTGTTCATATATACCATAATGATAAAGCCACACATAAGGTGTGTTGTCTATAAACCTTGGAAGGTAGTTAGGAATGGCTTATCTTGAGAAGATTAAACCAAGAGGAAATGTGTTAGTTACAGGCTTTTTAAGAAAATCATATGTTCATGACTTTCTATGGGATATTACTTTCTGAGTCAGTGTTTTGGTAATTGTGTTATCTTTAAGCAAGAACAACAGTCTTAACAGCTTTAAACAGCCCAAAATTATTATTTAAGAATCCCTGGGTAGAACAAACTGCTAAGCACTTGACTACTACCTGAAAGATTGGCAGTTTGAACCCACCCAGAGGCATCGCAAAAGACAGGCTTGATGACCTTCTTCCAAAAGGCCACAGCTTTGAAAACACCACAAAGTGCAGTTCTACTCTGCACACATGGGGTTACCATGAGTCGGAATCCCACCAGCAACTAACAACACCAACAACAACAAATTGTTCTTTTCATTGGGCAGGTTTACTGTGGCCATATGAAGACACTGTTGCTGTAGGGATGGACAGATACCTAGGAGATACCATAAATGTTAAGACAAAATTTATATTTCATTGTATGCATATATTAGAGAATAATATTTGTTTGCAGCCAAGTAAACATGACCATACTTGGCAGCCTCAAGAAAGATGTGCCAAAGTTTAAAATATGTTGATGTTAAATATGCAAACTTATAAAATTGCAACAGAGATACAGTGAAACAATCCTTCCCCTAGTACGCGTGAGATTTTGACTACAGACCTTTACTACTTATCCAGATAGTCAAAGAAACTTGGTTAGAATATTAGCAGCTACGACCACATGACCATTTGAAAACTCAATACCTCTGAGGTTTTTTTTTTCCTTGTAGTTAATAACTGCCAATTCCTTACAATGACGTAGAGCAGAATAATAATCAATCAGATATAGTCCCCTGCTACAAACTAGAAAGTACTAGCCAAAGTGTGTACATATCACTGAGACATTTTCAGTTTACTCATTCAGTGTAGAAGGGAGGCAATACAGAGAAAATGTACAATGCAAGATACATGTGGCCTGCCTGTGAAAATTGAATTCCTAAATACAAGAGAATGGGAGGTAAAATGCCTCTAAGGATAACAAGAGACAGGGAGAGGAGCCTTTTCAGAACCGCTTTGCTCCATCTGAGTGGGAACTGGACCCCTGGCCAGCCAGAGGACAAGAATTTCAACCAATTATCTTCTTTTTTGACAGGTAGTTTTGATTTCCAATTTAGGCAATGATAAGAGATTTTCCTTTATAAAAAATGAAGTTTTTAAAAAATGTGTCAATTGAAATTTTTTTTTAAAAAAAAGTATTACAGATGTTATGTGGACAGGGCAAATATCAAGAAAGTGAGTAAACTACAGTTCTTTAAAACACTCTTCTAAAACATGTCATAGCAACACGATGCCATTACTTGCTGGTCCAATCAGTGAATAACCCCATCACAGTTAACTCTCTTACTGCAGGCTTACCTGGAACATTAGAAGTATGAAACTGAGTGTGCACAATATGTTCTGATGTGTTAACTGAAATGAAATTTAAATGCAATCACTAAGGCATTTGATGCCATTTTTTCAGTAAGTCAAATCTCGGCTCTTCTATAAACAGTAAATGGATAGATTTCACCAAAAAAAAAAAAAATCCTTAAAATAAAAAAAATCAAAAAAGTATCTCATATGTTAAATACTATATGAATTTACACTATTTATAAATATAGATATTAAATGTTTCGATTTACAACTGACTAAATATAGAAGACCAGACACAAATAAATATATGTAATATATGTATTTTGCCTAAAGATACTGGATTACAATAGAGGGAAAAGTATCTAATTTATTAATCATGGGATCTATTAAAATACTTGTATTACCAAAGCAAATCATTGTTTACATAAATAAAACCCTATGTTTTGATTCTAAGCTCTAGGACCTAATGTTCTAAAGAAGCCCGAGTCTCAACTGAGAAAGGTCAGCCTGGTAAAATTAAAACACATCTGTGGAGATTCTAAATCACTATTATTTAATGTACTAAAGTGAAACCAGGCAGTTGTTCTAAAATTAACTTGTATGTTCTCCTTGCAATAAAAGCAACAGAATAATCAGCAATGACTCAGGCAACTGCCTTTTCCTAATGAGGTCATTCACCCGTGTTTGTTCTCAAACCCATAGTAGTAATTACATTATAGTTGTTATCCTTTTAGTTGCCATTCTAAAGCAGAATAGCAATTATTACCTGGAAATTAAAATAAAAAACCAGTTAGTAACATTTGACTAAAATTAGGTCAGAATACAAAATTAGTGACATTATTTTTTTAAGGCTAATCACAATCAGTATTTTCTTCAGATACATATTATAGAGTCTTAAAAAAGCTTAAACAAATGAATTTCAGTCAAAAGTTGAAATTAAGAAAACTTTACACTGACAAAATTCCCACTGGATCATCACTGATTTAAGAATTATAAGAACTAATTGTACTAGCTGTACATGTTCAAATCATTCTGTTCTACAAAATAATAATCAAGATATTTTTAAATTATTCAAATGAGAATACAGCTCCTTCGAATCATAACCTCTGTCCTTTATGAATTAACTAAAATATAAACAGAAAACATTTATACTTACTCATTAGAAACTTTAAGGAATAAAGTTTATATTTTTAATAAAGTGCTATATTTTTCATTTTCTTGTTTTTTAATGAAAGAATTCTTGGTCTTAGCAAAAGTCACAAACTGATTTTGAGAGACTAAATTTTCCTGAGTGTTAGCAAAACAAATTAACGAAAGGCCTAGAATGTTACTTTGCTGAGCCACCAATTACTGTCTAAAACTGCTCAGATGTCTAATCAGGATTTAAATTGGGACCGTTGGAAAATGGACTGAGACTACCAAATTATTCACTGGCGTGGGTCCACCTTCATTTATTCTGATCGAGAAAACTGAGCAAGAAATGGCAGTTCCCGTTTAACTATTCTACTGTCTTTGAGCCTTCATTCTTCTCACTCTGCATCATAACCCAGACTTCTTGAAAAATCACGTTCAAGCAATCTAAATGGTACCCAGATCAAATGAATGATTATTTCTAGAACTTGCGGTATGGAAGGCCACAGCAGAACACTATTTCCCATTCCCCACTTAGTTCCTTTGAAAACTAGATATAGAGACCTTTTTTTTTTTTTTCTTTTCTTCATTCTATTTGGTCTTCATGCTCCCTTTAGTGAGTTTGTGTGTGTATGTAAAAAGAGATTCTATTTATTTAGACCTCAACAGTATATTATTACATACGACACTTTAAAGAAATATCCATACCTTGTGTTTTTAATCCAACTGCAAGCACCACAAGGGAAGTTCCTGCTTACTTACCTGTCATCTTTCCCCTACAGCCCCCATCTCAAGTCCTGAATATTCTCATAAAGGACAAGACATCAAGTGAAAAGTAAAACTTTTACCCTAATGAAGAGGATCTTTTCTCCCACGCGGTATCTCCCTTGGGAAAGCCGCTCAACACAGAACTTGTTTGGGCATTTGCAAGGAGGATCTTCAGAAATTCGTTTCACCTGAAACAGAAGAGTAGTCAAGGTCGTTCTCCTTAGTGTAGTCGCATTTAAAGCAATTTGTTTGCTGGATTCAGTGGTCCCTTGGACCAGTAATGCTTTTAAATTTGTTCCATAACAGACAACGGACATAGATGCAAATACAGGAATATCACATTAAACCATAACTCAGCCAATGAAAACCCTATAGATCACAATGGTCTAATCCACAACTATCATGGGAAGGCACAAACCAGGCAGCTTTTTATTCAGCTGTGCATGAGGTCACCATGAGTTGGGGCCGATATGATGGCAGCTAACAACAACGACTTAAAGGGCAGATCCTGAAGGCATTTTCTGAAGGCCAGGAATTTCACTAAGGCACAAACTGGATGATGATGATGGTAATGATGCTGGTGATGGTGGTGATAGTGATGAGGAGGAGGAATTCAACTGGCAGTCTAGGAATGACAAGCTGGGTCCGTTTTTTGTTTTTGTTTTCCCAAGATTAAAAAGACATGAACATTGACTTGCCATAATAAATATATTAAAAACTAGACTAGAATGTATGTATGTTACCTATTTCGAAAAACTATATACAATGTATATTAACATAAATTATATATTTCCACAGTTTAATTTTAATGATACTAAATTTATCCACTTTCAAAATAAATGAGAATTAAACAAATTATTGTTGTTTCATTTTATTCTGAACTCGAAGTTTTCCTCAAGGACGCCATCTCTAATGCACCCAGACTCACCATGCAACTCATTCAATCTCAGCAATTTTGACCTACCAAATGCTACTTCTGTGGCCATATCTTACAGTTTATATGCATTTTATGCAATTCATGCCTGCATATCAGACTTTTCTCTGTCTTACAGCTATTATTTCCACTGTTTAAAAATTATATCATCTAAATGAGATGTACACTTTGTTTATAAATAGTTGGAACTACTGGAAGACAATGTAATAGCCCCTGATTTTAGGAATAAGTTTTATGTTTATGTTTTCCCTGATTGCGACCTGCCATGCTATGTCTCATACCTGTCCTTCCTTCAACTAACCAAACAACGAAACAACTCAAAACAATTATTTCCTGTGTTTTGGAAAAAAGTTTCCATAAAGGAAAAAGAAATCTCCCAATAAAGTGTTTCTTGCAACTGCGAAGCTGAATAGAACAAATCTATACTCTGAAGAAATTAAACTGGATTTTTCTCATGCAAATTCTTTCTTCCACAAAGATGTCATGTCATCATCTTTGGAGTTCTGCCGCCAAAGAAATTCAATCCTTTTTTTCAAATAATTAAACGTCTAACTCCAGTTATCCTTCTACTAAGCAAACACTATGACAGCAGAAACACATGAGCTCACCGAAGTGTTAGTGTAACAGAACAACCTATTGCTGCTGAGTCCATTCTGACTCATAGAGAACCTACAGGATGGAGGAGAATTGCTCCATACGGTTTCCAAGGAGTGGCTGGTGGATTCAAACTGCCAAACTTTTGGTTAGCAGCCTAATGCTTAACCACTGTGCCAGGAATTAAAAAGCTTGGTTTCTCTAGAATAAGAGAGGCTCCAGGGACTATAAAGCAGAAGACACAGGAGGAAAAATCAGAAAGGGTGGAGAAATCCTGAAACAAGATTTATCTAAGAATTATAAAATTGTGCCTCGGTGAAGACCTATATAGCAGAACCAACCCTATTTCTGGGGAAAAAATAAGAGAATCAAGTTGAGAATACATCTTTCCATCACTCTCTTAAGCCATGCGAAATTCTGCCAACATATAAGCATACAATTCTCGGTACTTATTTTTAGCATAGCATACTGTATCTCAGTTACTGGTTAACCTTAATGCCTCCTTGCTAGACTGTGAGCTCCTTAAGGGCTAAGATAGAGTTTCATTACGTTTTTAAATCCCCGACACATAGCACAATGCTTTCATTGCATAACATACGTGTTGAATAAATGCACACTGAATAAATAAATAACAAAACAAAATCATGGACCTGTACAGGGCATAGAAGAAAGAAAGAAAGAAAACTGACGGAACAGAATATAGAGTGAATACAAAGAACCTTCAAGATGGCTTTCCTTTAAAGAGGATGAAATTGCCTAACATTATTAGGTTAGTGATTAGGCCAATGACGTTGAGTCCAGAGTTTGTCCTACCACATTATACTTGCACCATAAATACATCTACTCACTAACTCTATTATTAATGGAAATCTTTCCCTGCAGATTTTTTGAAGGTAATGAACAGTCTTGAATGGAATGGTGATTAGGTACAATAGAATAAGAGATACAAAAGTTGAGTAACAGAAGCATCATTCCCTTATATAATACAGAACCACATTCTGGGGTGGAGAAAAAGAGGTATCTATGTGTCTATGTGTGCTGTTTTCAGTGTTCATGTATGTGCATCTCTTTCTTTATGTGTTTATATAAATGTGTATGTGTATACATAAAAATTATATTTTTATGTCATTGCTAGAAGTGATGCTATTTTCCTTATCACTATAATGAAAGCTTCCATAAGAAAAGAAGGGGTGAAGAAGAGGAGGGAGGGAGAGAGAGAGGGAGAAGAGCTTGGACCATGCAGAAGAATATCAGATAGCAGACGGCATCATAAAAGTGCACCATCTGAACTTTTGGAGGACCATGCTTGGCATAGATTTGCTGCCACGAGGTAACTGAACAAGCTGATCAAGCAGTAAATTGGTGTTCAAGTGGTCTCTCTGCCAAGAAACGACAATGACAAGTATGTATGGAAAGTAGTTCCAACTTGCAGTGTTTTAGACGAAACACAGAAACTCGCTAGCATGAAATGAAACAAAATACAAGAAACATTTTTTCAAGTGTCTTGTCCTTCCCTAACACCTGCCTTAGCTTTCAAGAGAAACTAAAATCAAGGGTTTTTTTGTAGTTGTATGAGAAATGGAGGCAGAAAGAGAAGAGACAAGGCCAGACTGTGGGTAGTGGAAATATATTGTTAAGTAAACACTGACTGATGACATCTGCACTTCTTATATTACCTTGGGATAAGTCAGTCTGGCAGGTGTTCTGGGTTTTTTGGCCAGGAACTCAGCCAGCTTTCTGCTGAAATGGGATTTCAAGAGGAGCCTGATTACTCAGAATTATACTATCTCTCATCCCCAGACTGAGGAAGTTGATGGAGGAGAGGAAGAAATAAGAACAGTTTCTTAGAACTGTGTTCAACTCATTGTGTTGGAACTAGCTCACCACGAGGGAATGCAAAGAGGAGAACTGAACCCGACCTCACCATTTTATCACAGCTGAATCACTCTATCAGGACATCTGGAGAATAAATTATTCTAAATGGACTCCACTGTGTTTCTTTTATGATATTTTGATTAAGGGAGGTGGGATGCATCATCCACATAAAAGGTCACCTTTTTTTTTTTTTTTTTTCCTATTTTCCATTCTTTCCATAAGTATCAAATAAGGAAATGTGAGGAAACATTGGCAGTTTCAGAACTGAGAGTTATTGCCGAAACCATTGGCTGGAATATGATACCTTCACAAAGGTCTGCTTCTCTTGTGTTTTTCTCTTTTGTCTTTTTCTTTCTTCTTGTCTTTATTTCTTGATCCTCCTCCTCCTTCTTCTTCTTTTTTTAAATTTTTTATAGATAATAACTTGGTCAGAGAATAAATAGTCCAGTATTATTGATTAAATATACAAATTTTGTATGAAATCTTTATTTTATACTCCTATTTTAAAGCACATATTTGGGTGCATGAATTTCAACTCTCAACTGGTATATTGGCCTCACATGCAGTGAAGCAGTTGCCACAGGAACTATTTCCTTTTTATATCAGACTTATGAAGCTCTGACTTAAACCATTAGTGGGGCTCGTATTACTTTCTTTTTGCTCCACTATTCTTGAAATAAAACACTTCAACGGAAAGCTATCAATTTAACGAAATGAAAATATTTCAGTGCAGTTTTCCACAAAGTAGAATGGAGAGGACTCTCAAGAGACTTCTGTGGTCAAATAAGTTTGAAAAATTCCAGATTAAACAAGTTCTTATTATGGAACTCACCAGAGCCTTTGCTATGCCAATGTGCATTGCCAAACTCTAAGTGGGGACTACAGTAAACTGTATTTCTCAAATAAATGTAACCATAGAATCCCATTTCCCATGGGGCATCTGGTGGCATTCCGGTTTGATTAAACATCCTTTAAAAAAAAATGCTGGCTTAAAAACCTGCAGAACACAGGATTCTAGCTGGCAGTAGTACAGAAATATCCATTTTACACATTTACTGCATTCAACTAAAACCCCTAACCTAAACAGATGTTTATACTACCAAACACTGTTTAGTAAACTTTAAAGGAGGTTTTAAGCTCTTCTGAAATCCCTTCCATTGTTTTCAGTTGAGAGAATAGAGGAACAAGCCCTTTGGAGTGACTGTCTTGCCATTTTATAGAGAGTCTCTATCTCATTTTATTTCTTCCAAATTGGAGCATTGGTAAAACTTCTCCACAATCCCTTTCATAGCCGTTTCACCATCTCCTCTCCCCTGCCCATTTCTTCCCTTCTCAAGGATCGGGGATGGCCAGACAAGACAGAAGCTGCTAAAGATAGGGAACCATTTTAGCTACTTCTCCCAGGTTCATGTAAACGGCTTCAAGTGGCAGAATTTCCTCCCTCTGCAAAGCCATAGGAGAACTGAGACATACATGCACTTCCAGGGCACATGGCCCATCCAGATAAATCGCACAAGGGGGAAAGATTTTTCAACTTTACCCAGGTTGATTATTTATCCCACAAACATATTGCTGGATAGATATAGATAGATAAAATATGGTCCTTGCCTTTGAGGTCAAGGACCACCCTCTGAGAATAATAGACATTTCATGCAATAAGGCAAATAACTCATTATTGAATCTATGGTAAAAGTGTATACAAACAGCAGGGGTACCAAAGACTAATTGGTCAATGTTAGAGAAGATGGGAGGTGCCAAGAAAAGCTTTATACAGGAGATAACACAATCTGAATTTTAAAAGATGAAAACATGTTTGAAAGGAGATTTAAAAGGTGGGTAGGAAGAAGTATGACAATTAAAGCAAGTGAGAAAAATCACAGTTACCTGGAATTTTGGATTAGTGGGCGTGGTTACACATGACTACATCAGAATACAAGGTGTCCAAGCGGGAAGTTTGGGAAATAGGCAATAGGCAAGGACATGGAAGGCTTATGTAACGTGTAAATCAGTTTGGGCTTTACCCAGGATATTACTTGGCACCTCTGTAGAAGTTTAATCAAACCTAGACTTGCATTTGGGTTGATTACTCTTGTAGCAGTGATGTTTTTGGATAAATTTCAAGAAGTGAGTGGTTAACAATGCCATATTCCAAGAAGAGGTCTTATAATTTGAGGACTAAAAAAAATAAAAATAAAAAAATCCCTTGATTAAGTAATCCATTCATTAGGAAGTTAAGAGTAATAATGGCCACATAATTTTCAGTGGCTGGAATCCTGACCATAATGCCTTAAAGAAAATGAATGGAGGTGATAGCTGAGAGCAAAAGGGATAAGAACAAGGATAGTAGCCAGAGAGAAACATTTATAAGAGAAAGACTAAAGAAACATCTTACCCTAAAGAAAGTCTAATCCAAAAAATATAACAGAGAGAGGAAAATTGTTCTCATTGATATATAAACAATGCACTATTACCTACTGTTAGAATTCCCTGCTAACTGATAGGTTGTAGGTGTGAGTCCACCCGGGAGCACCTTGGAAGAAAAGCTTGGCAATCTACTCCAAAAACTCAGCCATTGGAAATCCTATGGAGCGCTGTTCTCCTCCGACTCATATGGGGTCTCCAAGAGTCAGAGTTGACGGCAACTGGTTTACTGGTTTTATCTACTATTAATACAATATGTGATTCAATTTCTTTACAAAATAAAATAGTATAAAAAGCAAGACATGTGCCTGATTTTTAAAATTAGTCCTGTGATTGCAAAATCCTTCTAGGAGGCATTACATTAAAATGTCCTGTCTATTCTTTAAGTCCTGAGTGGACTGAACAACTGCACAAATGAAACTAAATTAAACTGGTATTGGCTAAGATACCTTGACAGGCTAAGTTTAAATTTACAGAAATAAGGGTTCTCAGTCTGGAAGAAAACAGAAATTATTTCTGCTCATCTAGACAATTACAGCCAAGAATGGGGCCGTTCTATTCTGTTACATGGCATTGCTATGAGCCAAAATGGACATGATAGCACCTAACTACAACAACAAATCTGCAGTAGAGGTTATGGTGTCATATGGGGAGAGCAAAAGATGGGGAATCTCTCTTTCTGCATCCATCAATCAGCCATTTCCCCCGCTATTTTCAGCTCAGACCCCACTGAAAGAAACCACCAGTTCTGACCAGCATTGCTTGTCAGACCTGCCCACTCTGTACAGCTGGCATGATGGTTGGTGCTGGCTTCTAAAAATTCACTCCATGTATGTGAGAATACTTCAGTCTAATGCCACCGGTATTGCCATTTTCTATAAAATTCATATATATCTACAACTCCACAAATGACAACTTTATATAAACAGCATCCCAGTCACCCATGATTTCCTTCTTTTATTATGGACACTTGTACCTGAAGATATATGTGTATGTGGGTATATACATACACGTAATCAAGCCTACTACTTGTTATAACCGAGAACTACTTAACAGACAGCAGAGATAACCTGAGAGTTCCAATTCCTCCTGTTTGTTGTGACATTCAGAGTTATTGAAACTGAAACTGTGGTTCTGAGGTTATATGTAAAATATTTCCTAATCTATCAAAAATTGTGACTCAAGGACTCTGCTCAACAGACACTGGGCCATTGGAGAGTCAGACAAAACTGGGTTGGAATCTAAGCTCCTCTCCTTCCCTCAGCAGGTGACTAAACATCTAAATTTCAGTTTCCTCGATAAGAAGCCTGCGTTACAGATATCAGAGCACTTGAAAAACAGTGATAGATCCTGGCCCATCAGGGAAAGTGAGTAAAGGGCAGTTATCTTTTCTGTGATATGTTTGCTTTCCCTTCTTTAAGAGAAAGATCCCGTGCCTCAGGCTTCTTGTCTGTGAAATAAGGGACCAGAAGCCAGTAACAACAAGGCTTAAGTGTTTTCAAATACAAAATTCAGGAAATTGGTTTACTTTCCTAAAAAGTTAGATACTACTCAGCAGACTTAAACGACACTTTATTTTAAATGACTTGGTCAGGTTTAAATCTCAGAACACAAACTTTTCCACAGGAATTGTAATAAAATCACAATAGATAAACGTTAGACTGATTCAAGCATGTACAGAATAAGTTTTGTAGTTCAAAAACTACTAACTGATGGTAAGATGTCTGTCCGATTGTACTCACTGCATCATCCAGTAAGTTTCCTGTACTCTTTTTTCCAGAAGATTTTGATGAAGGAGAAGGCAAAGGAGAAGGGGAAGAAAGTGTTTCTTCTTGTTCAATCTCTTTTTCCAATTTTATCAAACCAGGAGGCTCCACACCATACCTTTTAAAATATACCAGATCAAAAACACATGCATAACTTACAGTGATGCATTTACTATATGTTACATTTGATTATGAACACTCTATGAGTAAATTGCTCACCTTTAAAAAAGCATTAACTTTTTCTGGCATTGAAATAGTAAGCTATTACATCAGCATCATTTTGAGCAAGAAAAACACATATGCCTTCTGTGTATGTAGAAGTGTACATATATGAACACATATCTAGTAGCATACTAAGAATAAATAGAAATATATTGACTAAACAACATGAAAACCATCTAAAAATTAGTCTTTGTTATTCATGTTTACCCACCGTAACAATATTAGTGTTGTAATTAAACTCCTAGTTTGAGCTCAAGTTTCTTAAAGGTGGAGGTAAAGTCAGAGGGCTAGGGTCAAGTTTGAAAACATCAACACCCAGAATAAACACGTTTAAGTGATTTAACAGAGAAGGTGTTCATGGTTAATTGTACACCTAATACAGGTGCAGAACAATGCATTATGGGTCATAGAGTAGCATAGGTCATGTTCTTAAGAACAACATAATGAACGAATATGTAGTGTTACTGGGGAAAGCATTAACAGAGAGGAAACACTTAGAGAAATAATGTAGAATATTAAGTGATGAATTGTGTATTATAAATTATAAATGTCATAGAAGTTCAGAGAAAGAGAGAGAGGTAATTGTTATCTGCAAATTTATCTCCTATAATTGTATTTTCCTTAAAATTAGGTTTGGTTTCCTTAATATATATCAAAGATAATTCTATAATTTGAGAGTTGGGGCCTGTGGGATCATCTAGGTATACCCTCTCATTTTTATAGATAAGAATATAGATCCAGGAAAGGTATATAACTATTTAGGAGCGGGACGTGGACTCCAATGCAGGTTTTCTGACTTTGGGGCTGACACCATTTTTCCCTGACATTTTAATCAGATGATCTACAAGTGTTGGAGATGGGAGGAAAGTTGGGTTTTGAATAATCTACTAAACAAACTGTAGATAGAAAGTAAATATGCTGATTATAAGCCCAGTACTTTAGATTGAATCGTGTATTTGTATATCATTAAATGCAAAAGCTTAAATTATTGCCCTGTTTTGTTCTAATGGCCTGTTATTTTAACTGACCTCACTATACGTGTGTTCAGTATACAACTTTAAGTGTAAGCAATTTCTCCACTCTAGAGGTTTTGTCCTTGTAGAGAATGCTCAGTTACTTTGATTCCTGGTCTCTCCTGCTTTACTCACTTCTCCTCAGGGAGGATAAAGGAATTTATTAAATTGGTAAATCTGAGAAAATAAACTGAGCATGCTTCACTTAGTTCACCCTTCTTCCCCTAGGGATGGAGCTGCCCACAGAGAGGTCTCCGTTGGGACCCCATCCTGATTCTGCTCTACTTATGACTGGTTAGTTAATTTGCTTAATTCTGGAGTTCAGTTAAAGACACTAGCCATGTGTTTCAACTCTGACTTTATAAGTTATAAAAGTGGTATTTGATGTTTTATCTGCTACTCTTTTATTTTCTACTTTTTTTGAGAATTCAGGTGAGAAGGAGTGGTGGGGGTGCTGTATGCCAGGTGCTCTATGAGAGCTGGAAAACTTACAATTAAAATTCAGTACAAAACAGGTAAACTGGCAAAATTCAACTGAACAACTGTTATTTTGAGAACTGCACTTAGTGAACAGAAAAATTTTTAGTTACATATATCATTACCTAAAAAATCTAGGCACCATTTATCATAGTTTTAACATTTTATACATATTTGCCAATTAATGGGACATTGGTAGCAATGTACTGGCCTATAAATTTTATAACTTCAGAGACCACTGTCTATCTGGTTCCTGGCTTCCCAACATCCACCATGGATGCTGACGCACAGTACGTACTCAATAACGACCTTGTGAATGAAAAAGTGTTTAATGTATTTTCATATAACAAAGATTTCAGATTCAAGTATGGATTTGGTCTCAGTGTTTTCAATCCCCTAAAACTCAACTATCAATTTAATAAAACAAGTCAACATTAAATGTACAAAAATGCTGTACCAAAAAAAAAAAAAGATTTTCTGGAAGAACTTAAACCTTGTCTGAAACTAAAGCACTTTTTTTTTTTTTTCTAATGCTCATTAATTAACCTGAACTCTACACAGCATCTCATTACCTTTGGAACATACTAACAGTATTCACATGGAGACTTGTTTATCTTCCTTCCCTGAGTTAGGCTTGAACTAACTGTGCCATTAACCTACTCTTTAAGTTTCAGCAAATCACTTAACCTCTAAGAGTCTGTTTTCTGTCAAGAAAACAGAGATGATACTAGCCTACTCCAGAGTTCTAGTGTAGCAGTGGTGGAAGGGAGAAGGAAGAATGTCAGAAAAGCAATGATATTAAACATCTTCAGTGTGTCTGGCACAGTGGGACATCTTAATATACATTACTTCTGAACTTCAGTTTTACTTCAGTGGTAAAATAGGAATTCTAATTCCCACGTTTTAATATTGTTATAAGGAATTACAACAATATATGTTGCATGCGTAGAACGGTGTCTGGCACATGGCACGAACTTTGAGACTGCTGTTGATAAGTTAATTGATTTATCAAGGGTCATGGAGTTCCTGGGTGGCACAAATAGTTACGCATTACACTGCTAACTGAAAGGTTGTCAGTTCAAACCCACCTAGAGGCACCTTAAAAGTAAGGCCTGGTGATCTGCTTCTGAAAGGTCACAGTCTTGAAAACCCTATGGAGCAGTTCTACTCTGCACACATAGGGTTGCCATGAGTCAGCATCAACTTGATGGCAACCAACAATAACAACAATAGCATCAAGGGTCACAAAACCAGGAAAGTGCAGCACTGAGGCCCTGTCGCCAAAGTTTTTGCTCTTTTGAATATATTATACCACCAACTGAGATAATGTAACAACCCTTCAAAATTAAAGTGTTATTCAGAAGCAAAGTACTAGGCTCCCTATAAATTGATTTTCTTAAGATTGTGGAACATTATGAATATCTCAGTGTTGGAATTTAGCAGACAAGACTCAGCTCTGCTACTAACTCATTGGATGAGCTTGGGTAATTCTTTTAATCTCTCTAGACCTCTTTGGATTCTTAGTTCCATCAAGGCATAACGTTCGTGTTTAAGTTTCTTAAGAGAATAAAATAAACTTGACTATGAGGCTAGAGGAATTTAACACTAGAAGTCACAGGCAATTAAAGTTCAATCATAAAATAAAATATATTTGAAAGTATAAATTAGTCCAAATGGAAAATAGGATTTCATTTGTAACTGTCAGTGGATTCATGCCACCTTTAAGGCACAGATTGCACAATTTTTGCTGGTATTTTAAAAAGTGAAACAGTAAGAAAAAATACGTTACTAGAGTAAAAACAGGTTCTGCTGCATATCCAATACAAGAAAGGTAGCCTAAGTTTGAATAAATTTGGTAACAAAATTACACATAGAAAATCATGCCCTGGAGATTTTTTTTCAATATGGGAATACTGGAAATTAGCTATGCCGCAGAACACTGAAAATCAAAACTAAGCTCCAAATCTCTGCTTATATTGGCTTTTGAGTGCTTCAGGCTGCCTAAGGTACAGTCAGCCAATCCTAAAATGCACACTTAAATACGATTCATTGACTTCCTGTCTGTCTGGACATGTCAACAGGCTGTAAATCATGAAATTCCCCTTGGGTTGGGGGCCCACACCTGCAAGTTAACAGTCACTAAATAGACCTTTTCTCTCCTCTCCAAAAGGCTGTTTTCATTCTGGTTTCCATGATTAACTCTACACCATTTCTCATTTCTAGTTTATCTACGAGGTTTTCACAAGTTTATACTGTTTTCCATTCCTTTCCAACTACAAGATTTTAGAATCTTAGAGCAGGAAACTGTTGTTCTCAAATTGAATATACTTCAAACCAAAAATAACAAGAAGGTTGACCCCCACTAAAACCAAATTCTCACATGTGTACACCACAGTGATATGAAAGTAGGGTGACTACTCAACGGTGAGGCTTTTTTTCTTTTTGTCTCATTTTAAAAGAAAATACAAAGTACTAGGTAAAGGTTCTGATGGTTAACGATTTTATTATAAGATTCCAGGAATGGATTTCCCATTTTTCTAGCACATGACACAACTTTTGAGATTGGTCTAGATAAAATATCTGAGTTCCCAAACTGAGCTCTAAACTAGAAATTTACTCAAACTATTCAGTAGGCTATAATTTACAAACAAAAGATATTTGGGGCCCACTTTACTAGAATTAGACACCAAACCAAACTCATTGCCATCAAGTCGATTCCAACTCATAGTGACCCTGCAGGACAGAGTAGAACTGCCCTATAGGCATGGGTTTCCAAGGAACGGCTGGTGGATTCAAACTGCCGACTTTCTGGTTAACAGCGAGCTCTTAACCACTCCGCCACCAAGGCTCCTACTAGGGTTTGAGGGACAAATTTTAAAGCCATATGAGAGAAATACTCCTTCTTAAGGCATGTAACAGATAATTTATGAATTCTCGCAAGATTTTTTTTTTGTCCAATTTATCTTACGTTTTAAAGCAATTTAAAGATGGATTTAATTGGAAGGAAATTTCACCCATGTGAAAACGTGATATTTTTAGAAATCAGATTCAAGTGTTTTCACTAGGATATTATTATAGCCAATTAATTATTCTTATATAAGAATATTTTGTTTTTTAATAGAATTGCCTTTCATTATGCCATGGATTGAAATGAGAGACTAAAGAAAACATTCAAAAATTATATTTGGAATGGCCATAAATTTTGTTCAAAATTAAGGAAGTACTCAAAAATAAAAATCGTATGAAACCATAAATCAAAATGTCTAAAGTTTTTACTTTTATCATAAAGATAATCTTAATTATACAGACTGTCAATATACTGAATTCATATTAACTTTTTTTTTTTTTCCAGCAATGAAGGTCAACACACTGTCACTAAGAAGTTGTCTGAGGTTTTATTGACCTGCTTTTGCTGACTGTTTTACTTTTCAGAAGACAAACACGCATCTTTTACATTTAGAAACTGACATGCTCTCTGAAATATTAGCGGAGGGATTTCACTCTCCAGTGATGATAGTTCTATTTAGTTGAAAATAAGAGGCAATTTTACCCATAAGTACAAGCATAAGTGGTCTCATTTTCCCACCCCAGAACTCAGAGAAGCCCACAGCTCTCAGGAGGACTTCACCAGTGTTCCCAGGCAGGAGAACATGGCAGAGAATCAGAAAGTATCCTGGGAATCATTTGTGAAGAGATGTTGATGCTTGTAAGATGATATTCATGTAATTTTGAGAAGTAAATGTGTATATACTCAAATATAAAAAATTATTCGTGTATCAACGATGAAAAACACAAATCTCACAAGACTGTACTGGGATTTTTTTAAGGTCTGAACCCCACTGTCATGTGCGCAAATTAATGTTGTGTCTTTGAGAACTCTCTTAAACTCATTTCTAGTTTTGGGTAAAGCTATTTTAACTCAATTATTTGTGAAATCCACCCTGGGGGAAGGACTAGAAGAGGGAAGGAAGGAGCACAAATTTAAGAGTCTAGATACAGGCTTAATGTATCCAAAGTAAAATTTAGGAGTAAAATTAGATTTGGGGGATGAATTTCCCTTTTCCTTTAACTGATGCTTTAAAACAAGAGGAAAGATAGTGTGGTTTGGGTGAATTGGGTTGCTGTTTGTAAAGCACAGCTGACCTTCTATTAAAATAAAAAAAATCTTCCAATGTGTACAAGCAGAGAAACTTAAATAGAAATTTATACTTAACCGTTCAATCTATCCTGTTGGTATTGGATTATTTAATATCATGCTAAATATAACAGCCAAAATAACACTATGAGTAAGTATTAGCATATTTTCTCTTTCTCAGTATAAGTGTACAAGAAGAAAGGGAAATTTTACAAATTAGGTAGTGTAAATGCAACAGTTCTTTTAATTCTTACATAACTCCTTCGTGAAATCAGTGTATTTTTTTCTAATGTGAATATCAGCTGACTTGGTCATAAAGTATGGTCAGAAATGGAGCAACCCAGAATCACAATTTTAAAATAGTCAAAAAAAAAAAAAACTTAATATGATGCTTCACCTTGCAATTGATAGGTCATTAGAATTCCCTTTCATTAGCTGAGATTATAATTTCTTTTAGTCTATGGCAAGGGGAAACTTATGCCAGACTCAGACTGGAAGGTAATTCATAAAGGAATTTCATCACTGGTAGCAGGTCTTCTGCCTTTGATGATTTAACCAAAGTTAAAATGTTCAGTTCAGTAAGATTCCTAACCAGAGTGCTCAGGTAATAAAAAGTATACGGACAAAATAAAATAAAATCCAGAAAGCAGGCAAATAATATAAGCTAAATGGGAGAAAAATGTCAATTTTGGCTAATTTAGTGATGGTGCAAGTCTCTCTCTTTACCTCTATTCCACAGTTTTCAGAATCGTGATGCTTATCTGATTTATATATTTAGATTATTAAAGCAACAAAATGGAATCTGGTATTTTAGAATATTTTAAAAGTAAAATTAAACAACCAGATTCTCGTTTAAGTAGAAAATACACCTCATCCAGCTTCTCTTACTCTAGTATTTCAGTGGTGGCAAATCATTTATTTTGATTTTACTTTGTGTGTTTTCCTTCCCCCTGTATTGTAAATGGAAATCCCTGGATGGTGCAAACTGTAACACGTTCAGCTGCTAACGAGAAGATTGGAGGTTTGAGTCTGCCTAGAGGTGCCTTGGAGGAAAGGACTGGAGGTCAACTTCTGAAAAACAGTCCTTGAAAACTGTATGGAACACAGTTCTACTCTGACACACATGGGATTGCCATGAGTTGACATCAGCAACTTGTGGTGGTGGTGGCATTTTTAAGTTCCTCATTCTTAGAGGAGAAATGCTAGGTGATTTTTATTCCTTTGGCTCAGGGCTGTGTCTCCTGCACCACAGAAGGAAGCCTGCAGTTTGGTGGGGGAGTGGGTTTAGCAGGATCCTAGCAGGAGCAGGAACGTTTGCCCTGCTCCCTCAAAGAACCCATGGAGGTGGCAGCACTGAAAGGGGGATGGAATCCTAAGAAGCAGCCAGATGCTATAAGCTTTTAAAGGTCTATGAGAGCTAGAATTGTGCCTGAGTAGTAGAGACCTGAGTGGATTGAAGACTGGGAGGTCCTCTCTCAGAGACCTTGGCGCAATGCCAGGGGGAATGGAAGGAGAGTAGAGGAACCTCCAAATGTCTCAAATTGGTGAATTCTTTACGCCTGGTTGAGTGGAGATTCGGTCCTATTTAATTTGAATGAAAAAAATAAATAAAATAAAGCTTGTATCCAACTATTGTGGTAAAGTAAATTTCACACCTGGTGTACAGTTAGTTATGATTATGTGAACTACAATGTTTTAAAGAACTTGGGGTAACTTCTTCTGAATATAGGTTGATTTTATATTTGGTCAAAAAGTCTATCATTGGAAGCAAGTTTTCCACACATTGCTATAATTTGTCCATGTGCATATCTTCTGTTTTTTTCCTTGATTTTCTTTAGAAATTCTCTATTTGAGAATTTATGCCCAGAGCTAACTCTCATTTTATCTTATTAGTTTATCTGATCTTAACCAAAAAAATATAGCCATATCTAGACCACAAAACATTTTATAATTAATCCTGAATTATTATTTTACATCAAGCTCTTTTCCAAACCTTATTTCTTCATTTCTAGTTCTTTGGGCTTCATAGAACTATCAGAAGCCCTGTTTTTATTATTTGCAGAATAATAGAAGGGAAAGCATGAAACCAAAGCAAGCCTGCTTAACTAATAAAATCTCTACCTCTGCTTCTTCAGCTATGGTTTCAGAAATACCTTCTTTTTTTAATCTTTTTTCAAAAGAAAAGATTCAAAATATGTATTTACATAAAGATTCAATTCTATGTCTTTCTCTGATCATAAATACAGAAAATAATTTTTTAAAATACCCCCCACCCCACTCAGGGATGGAAATGAAAACAGATCAGAGATGAGAAGTAGAATAGGGTTAAAAAGGGGCAAAAGAAAAAGAGGTTTTAAAATTAAACAACAAAAAAGGAGAGAGGGAGTCATGAAGGAGAAAAGGAAGGAAGGAGGAGAGGGTGGGCATGGACTTTCCACTAAGGAAAGAGTAACTGTTAAATAAAACATCATGTACAAGATTTTATTCCCTTGAGAAAGGGTTGGAGGGAAAATGTACTTGATTCAGAGAGGTTTATCAAATGCTTAGATAGATGACTTTGACAGTAAGATCGTGATGTTAAGAATATTTATGGCATACTTTTGTTGAACTGCTTTCTAGATTCATACTAATCATATTTGAACAAGCAGCTTTTGTCCATTAAGTTTAAGCATCAGCAGTGAAGAGCCAGCAAGCTTCTCTGCTGCTTGGATGCTGAGATGATCTATATCTCTCCATCACAGCAGTAGTTTGACCTACCTGGCTGCAATCCGGCCAAGCTCTAGCAAACAGAGACACACTTCTCTGGGTTGCTTGTGAAGGACTGAAAGACAAGACGGAGGAGGCACCTTTATAACAGAAAGGATTGTAATGCAGCTCAACAGAGAACAGGCTTTCGGATGATCCCCATCCCTCATGCTCCCAGGAAAAGAACTAGTCCATACACACTTTTTCATTCTGACATTCACAGAAATCGTCCTATACAACAGTGTACTTGGTGCTACTGAAGTCTTAAAGCACCTTTCAAAATTCTTTGCTCAACCTTTCCTAAAAGCTGTTAGTCTAAAGAAATCTCACCCTGAAAATATTTTCTTCAATTAGTTAATATTGTTAAGTCAATATTGGAAACATATGTAGCTGTAATTATGATATAGACAGTTAATAGATGTTTGAAAATACACAGCACACATAGCCATGGAGAAAAGACTGATTTTTAAAAATCCTGGGTCAACCTTTACCAGTGATTTTAGCAGTAATGATTCAATGAATAAGGATAAATACTATACTACACAAGTCTTTTGTTATCCTCCAAATAATGACGAGTGTGAAATGAGACACTGAAACTTGATATCCTCTCCAAATCTGATTAAATGATACTTTAGAAAGAAAAATATCTTCAACTGAGTGGATTTTGTAAATATTTACCAACCTACCATCAGCCAGGTTTGCCCTTCAAATGAGAAAATTAGAAGACTGTGCTGTGCATTTATATTTTTATTTTAATATAATCTTATTACTTAATAAATACGTTGTACTGATAGCTTCAGACACATTCATAATGTGATAAATCATACTTGTTTTTGTTGAGCCTATCGGAGAAGTATGCAGTGCTTATGCTACTATTTTATAAGCAAGATTAGGGAATTAAAAAATATTGTTTTTCAAAATATCTAATAAATGCAACAGATATTGGAAAATGTTATTGCATTGAGAATTGTCTTTGCACAGACATGGTTAATATCTTAATAACTGAAGATACTAGCTTATTGATAATTTTTTTAAAAAAATAGCTATAATGCTTGAATTCTTAAATATAGAATTTTGTAATGATTCAATTTCCCAGCATTATGCTATTCCCTTAGCTTAAATATCAGATTCCTTCTCTCCACAGATTGTGGTAATCCCAATATTTGGCCTGCTGACATCACAATGGAATTGTGTGGGAGTGTGCGGTGAATAGAAAAATACTTTTACTGGAATAGTGAAAGTATGTAATTTTATTTGCTTTAAACAGACACACAATTTTATTATTGTCTGGTTTTAAAGTATCATTTTAAAAACTTTTACAATAAGTTCTAAATCCCATTAGTAATGCTCTTAAAATAGAATTGATTTTGGAAAATCTTAATTACAGAATATTTCCATTCTTGATAATAGAAATTTTAGTTTCAGCTGACCTTCACAGATTTTCAGTTGACCTTCACAAAACCCTAGTTACAGAAGCCTCAAATTACTTCTAATTAAAGAGGCTTAAAATAAAGATAATTACTACTTCCAGTTTCAAAAGTACTGTTAGCTGACTCAGGGAGTCCTGGTGGTGTAGTGGCTCAGTGCTCAGCCGCTAACCAAAAGGTCAGCAGTTCAAACCTACCAGCCACTCCGTGGGAGAAACAGCCACTCTGCAGAAGAAAGATGTGGCAGGCAGTCTGCTTCCATAAAGATTACAACCTTGGTAACTCTATGGGGCAGTTCTAATCTGTGCTATAAGGTCTCTATAAATCAGAATGGACTCTACAGTGACAGGTTTTTGTTTTGTTTTGTTTTTAAACAGTGGACTGGCTAGAATGATACAAACTTCACAACTTTTGACACATTAAATCAACTTCAGTGCATAGCAACATATGGCCTGTAAAACCACACAGGCATCCATTTCAAATGGAGAACAATAATAAACGCCACAAAAGAAATATAACAAACAAAAGCAAAAGGATGAAAATCGATCTTCCCATCTAGAAAATCAATGTCTTCCGATTTGGACTTTTTCACCCTGTCCATGGTACAAAATAACAAACAGGAGCTTTGAGTGGGAGAAAGGACTACATAAAATCTCAGGAACATTTTAAGGCCTTGTTAATATCCTCATCTTAAGTAAGAGGTAAGTAGCTGAAGCTCTAGGAGCCCTGGATATAACTTCATGCATTTCTTGATGGAAACAGTATAAAAACATGAAAATTATTCATGAACAGAACAAACAGCATGGCTATGCAGGAAATAAGCAAATATAAAAAGTAATACCTGACACAAATATAATGGTTCTTTAACCAACTTATTGTACATCTTCTTAGGACTATGTCAACATTGGTATGTTTGGTATGTAAATAAATAAATGTCAAAAAAAAATGTATATAACTCAAATTTATTCTGAAAAAGAAAATAATGAAAAGTGCTTCCTATATTACCCACATCTGCTTTTTCTGTTTTTGGAAAAAAATATGTGGAAAACAGAAAAATCAGATGTGGGTAATATAGAAAAGACAATGTGATATTTAGGATGCATAATTATTTTGTATTTGTTTGCTTCCTCAATTTAGCAATCAATTTAAGACAAGTTTTGTGGGCCAAACCTTGAATGCTGACTCCAACACTGACTCACTAAAAAATCATTTTGGAAAATCAAAAAGACAGTGCATGATTCTCTATTTTGTCTCCTTAATAGAACCAACCTATAGAATTGAAGACAAATCAACCTCTTCCCCTGCGTCAGCTCTTAGGAAAATGCTAAGACAAAGATAATGATTGACTTCCCAGTTTACTTGGAAAATACATTCTCTTAGAAAGCAATAAAATAGCTTCAAGAGAGACCAATAATATTGCCTCACTTTTTCAAATATTGATCATATCGTGTCTGGCATCTGTGGCCAAAAAATATGAATGTTTGATGACTTGTAAGCAATGAATGAAATAATACAAAAGAGATTCACAACTTCTGCAGAACACAGTAGTACCTCAGAAAGGATTGTATCTCTTAATATCGAGGAGGAGGAGGAGGACGTGGTGGTGACAGCAGTGGTGACAATGAACAAACTGAATAAAGACTAAAATTTTACCTATCATTTTGAGAAAAGGCAAGAATTTAAATTGTGTGATATTAATTTAATTGCAAAAGCACACTCATTCCTATAAAACTAAATTCCAGAGTCTTCAAGTATCTACATTTTATATAAGAGGTGACCTTGTTTGATTTTCGCAGTGAAGAAAGTTTTAATTTAAAGTTATATAAATGGAAGGGGTACAGTGATCCTGGGCGTGAGCCAGAAATATCTAGGTGTGAATGTCAGCTCTGACACTTACTAATTGTGTTATTTTGGGGGGTTACTCAATAAAACTTCAGATTTCTGAAGGAAAAACATAGTGTCTACCTCACAATATAGTTGTGAGGATTAAACAAAATAATATTTACTGTTATTCTTAGCACAGTGTTTAGTACATAATAAACAATTGCCAAATGTTTCTTTGTTATTGTTGTTATTGTTAACTATATTTTAAATATTATCCCCATTTGGCTTAGTCAATTAACATTAATTCACTTTTTTTTTTCTTTTAGCGTTTTTTGTGCACCTATTGTGTGTCAGTCACTGTACTAAGTGGTGGATGAAACCTTGGATTAAACACACTTTTGCTATTGGAGATATGTATAATTTAGAGTGACCCTATCATAACGCATATATATTTATTTTTTATTATTTATGTTGTACCAGAGATAGTTAACTCTAAATTCTATCAGATTTCAGATTAAATAGGTCAATTTGGCCAGCATATATAGACAGATATAAATCAGATATACTATAGTCATTATGAGTTTGTCTTAAGTATAAAGCTTAAGTAACAATTATATTAGAAAATGTATCATTTTTTGAAACATAAAACATCTTGCCATTAATTTTCCTGTTCCTAAGAATAAAATAACTTGTATGTTTCTATTTTTAATAAATTATCTAAGCTGATTATATATTGCATATATTAAAAGATCAGATAACTCAATGCATGTCTTTGTCAGTATGATTAGAAATCCAGCTTTTAGTGGATTAAGTTTGAACTAAAGCCTTTAGATTGAGTCATGTTTACTACACATTTTAAACATGATTACTGGTTCTTTTTTTTTTTTTCAAAAAAGTTAAGGAACTTCCCCTTACACTGAATTTTACAGTAGAAAACATTTTTATTTGCACTATATCATTGTAACATCAGTGTGGTCTCTTATTTTGAATTGGGGCTGAAGAAGGGATTGCTGTTGCTTTTTTTCTTCTGAACAAAGTCTCTCCAAAACAAATACAAAAGCTCCCTAGTCAATGGTAATTATTATGCAAAATGCTTTATCATTGGAGGCTTGTTTTTAAATAATCAAAACCATCTCAAAGAAGAGCATAATGCAGAACACCTCCGGGAAAAGTAACACAGATCCCTATTCAAAAATATGTGGCAAGAGACTCAATCTCATATCCTAGATTCTGTAAAAATCTCATGGGCATTAAATGTCAAATGGAATGCTGCTAGATCCTGGAACAGAAAACGTGGCCTTCTGCTAAAGCAATGGATAGAGTTTCAATGTCACAAAATCTGCAGGGAATAAACTGCATTAGACCTTGAATGTATAGGTCGCCTAAACACATTAACATATGAACAATGAAATGAACACATGGAAAATCATCTTATCCCTTTGGTTTCTACACAACTAGAGGTTACAATATTCACAGCAGTCTTGAAAAACACTGTTTTAGCTTTCGATTTGGGAAAAAAAATTAAAAGATTATATTTTTCTGGCTAAATCTTGAAAATATCTAGAAAAAAATCATTAATTAATGACCCCCCACTTTTCCAGAATCGAGAACAGGTTCCAATCGTCAGAGAAAGATATAGTAAACTGGAAGTCAGAAGAATTAACTTCTAATCCAGGCTGCAAAACTTTCTTATCTCTAAAACAGGCATCATTCCATCTACTGGTTTTTCCATATGAGGTAAAATGGCTAAGTGTACTTGGTACGTAATAAGTACTCTATAAATGTTACTCCTTCACACATTAAGTGTGGTCCACAGACCAACAGT